GACACCAATATGGTACTCAATATGCCGTACTCAGTCAACGTGTATAGATGTATAGCTACATGTATAACTATAAGTAGCTATATTTAGCATTCACGGCTAACAAATTGGTTTTTATATTGCATGTATGCATACATGTATTGTGCTAGACCTTGGAATGAAAACAATATGTATATAGGTAAAACGATCTTTTGACATATTGTTATTGATACTACCGTATAACTACCGTATATTTATGACTCGTGTTTTTTATGCGCATATATTCTCTCAGTATAGAAGCTCTTGTGCCAGAAATATGTGCCATATTTTGCTGGCAGGTTATGAAGATGTGCCATCTTTTCTTAACCAGTGGAATCTGTAGAGAATATACGCGTGTGAGGTTCTATTTAGTGAAAACTCTTGTGCCAGAAATATGTGCCATATTTTGCTGGCAGGTTATGAAGATGTGCCATCTTTTCTTAACCAGTGGAAGCTATATAGAACGTCCTCAAATGATTAAAATGAAAACATATTTGGTATATACTGGATAATTCAAAATTAATTTCACAGGTCAAAACAGTCTACAGTATGCCCATGCAATGCTGATATATATGCCATTTTCAGCACTAAATACTGACTTGAGAGGGTATATTTTGACTCGAGATATGTATATGTATGTATGTTTACTCAATTAGTTCGTGTTGTTTAATATATCATGCATGCAATTCAAACCAAATCAGTCACACGCAGGACACAGCAGTATATAGCTTCTATATGATAGATTTATGATTCAAGGAGTGCATGAACATCATTATATATGTTCCATCAGAGTAGTTTTATGCGCAAACTTTGTCAGTGACTTAAGATCTATATACCTTCGACTAAACTGGAATCGTCTAAGAGCCGCCTCTTAAGAGCCGAGTTATAGGCTATTACAGTAGAGCTAGCTACTTCACATATAGTCAGTTGACATTTGACAATCGCAACGGGGTATTTTATTCTGCGAGCTATTTTAGTTGAATACATTTTATAATAATTGGCCCCCTTGTGAACAAGCTTGTAATCAAATGTCATTGCGTTAGGCATTAAAAGTAATATTCAACTTCTCCCTCACATCAGTTTTGCTTGATTGATGACAGTCTATGGTGTTCTGCAGTTGCAGGCAAAGTGTTGGCGAAGCCTAAAATCACAGTGTGATCCGCACTATATAAGTGCGGTTCACGCTGTGATTTTTTTCGTGCGGGTTGTAATGGCTTTTCAGTCAACAATATTTTGACAGTGAGTCATGTTTTTGAAATGACAATAAATTTTCATTACCCAACCTTTGAATCGTTTTGTTTTTCATTTACCCAACCTTTTACTTACTCAAAATTTTGTTTACCCAACCTTTTTCTCTTCGGTGCCACCCCCCACCATAAATAATGACCGGTCCCTTAAATTCTCACAACCGTAGAGCTTGTAGTGAAGAACAGCTGCGAAATTTCCCAAAATTTCGTTCGTACAACTGTGGCTTTTACGCCATTTTGTAAACATTGATGCTAATAGCCGCTGGCCGATTAAAGAAGATACACAGTGGCTCAAAATGGCGCGAAAATTGGAAAATATTTACAATATATATTTTGCTGTGGAAATACGAGACGTCCCTTGTACTTAAAAGTCGACCGTACTCAAATTACGCAACAAATGATAAAAAGACAAATTCAATATTCATAAAAGACTTGATAAAAGGCATAAAATGCCATATATATTCACTCATGTGAATCAATTTTATCATTCCTTAGTCAGCGCTGTGTCTCGCGGGTGCATAGTTTCCCTAAATTCGACGCCCGCGATGCGTGGCGCTGACTGTCCTTCATTTCTAGCCATTATGAGTAATATTTCGGTCTTTACGCAAAACAATGTGTTAAGAAGAAAACGAGTTACACACAGTATGCGTAAATCATTGAAATTTATCGGAGAACTCAGATGTTTGTGTAAATATTACACTCTTAATCAGTCGATAATATATTATCATATTTAGCTGGTTTCAATCAATCAAAGTAGTGCACGTTTCTACCTAACTTTTCTTCAGTGTGAACTATAGTAATACAGCGACTAGTTTCGGATATGGAGCGAGATTTAAGCGACGTCTCGTAGGTTCTTGTCCATGAAATCGATCGATGGTCCGAGATTTGCGATGACATGACATGCTATCACATGTTATGATATGCGATACGTTAAACCTTACAATTTTTAACAGTTATGGTAATTGGCATATAATTTTTTAGAGAATCTATCTTCATTATTCTCTTATAAGAATTTTCACCAATTTTTTATGATCATTTTTTGGCCAGATTTATGCTTCACACGGTTTCAAGCAAGCGATAGATTGGCAGCGCTTTTTGGTGTATCTATTTTAGAAGACAAGGCACGCGCGCAATTATGTCGTGTATTAGCCTGCATGGCAGGCGGTACATAGGAAATACCGCCTGCCGCAAAACTGGGTGTAAATGAACTACCGCCCCTGAAGCATCAAAGCTATTTATAGATGTCATTAAGTAAATAATCAAAATTAGCCACTCCCAAGTTGCTCCCAAGTCCCAACTGCCCAACATAAAATAAATTCCTTGATTCTCATCACCGCCCGACTGAATTTTAAAATCCTCGTGAAAATGTTTTATATTTTGTTATACAATATAAATGTACCGCCCGACAAAATAACTCAAGACAGTTAATTTTTTTTATATTTTATATAGGGTTTTTATTGCCATTTTAAACTTCCAATTTGAAACAAACAGAATTTTGAATGAAATTTCATTGTATTTTAAAGAAATTCAGTCATTCTGTCATTGTTCGTGGAGATACGAACTATTGATATATAAATTATATAAATATAAAATATAAAAAATAAATCTCCCACTGTCTTTGACATTTCAAAGTGTAGACTGTGTCTAGTGATGAGAATCAAGGAATTTATTTTATGTGTTAATATAAACCAAGCCCGTTTAGCTGCCTTAAAACGGTGGTTTAATAAGCTCAAAATACAAAGCATGCAAGTCTATACTATAGATTCATAATCAGTGAACAACCAAAGTGAAAGTTTTGAACCTTATAGAACGATAGTTTTTATTTGTTTACAACTATACATATTCAACGGGTATATAAGAGTTTAACTGTTATTTGATAATTACTGCATCAACCGGTCCCTAGTTCATACTTTGGAGGTTCGTATATCTATCAAGTATCTTTGGTTCAGAACATGACGGGCCTATATGAAAATCCCACCGTTCGATTCAGTTGAAGAAATATCTCCTAATTTCTATCGATAGTTTTAGTAAAACGTCAACATTATTGTGATTTATGGCCTTTGAAAGTCAAGCGAGATCGTATATTATCAAATTATCAAATACGCATGTAATTGTCTGAACGAAAATATAGACTAGCCCATACCTTTCGCCGATCATAACTTCGGCCCCTTCGGACGTATCTTCTTTGTTAAATATTCTTGTACGAATCGCTATCAAAAACACTACTTAGAGTGTTATTTTTCAGCTTGTATCTTTAAATTTGCTTCTTTTATTATGGTATTCCATTTCTGGTCTGACTTGACGTGAACTAATTTCAAAACGTCAAAACATTTGGTTAATGATTTACATTTAACCGAATTTAGCCGTTGATTGACAACTACATAAAAATACTAACCAATCCTTTTTTCCGTTCACCAGCGGACGGGTATGAGGGGTGGAACAGGGCATTTTTTAACTATATAACTGGGGGGGGCAAAGCCCCCCCCCAGCCCCCATGGTGGCCCCCCCACTCAACCATTTTGGCCCCCCCAGTCAAAGTCCCTTTTCTCTAAAATATAAGCAAAACATGGAATTTAGAAGGGAAGTTTGATATTCTAGTAACTGAAATTTGCTTTGTGAATCTTATGTCCTGTCTTTTATGTTTAATAAATACCTTAGATTTTAAACATTTCCCAGGCAGTGGATTGCATTTCCCAGACCTTATAGATTTGAGTTGTTGGACAAGTTAGTGACCGCAGGGGGCAACAGGCCCTCAACCAAGTGTTTTATAAGGGGGGGGATAATTTTGCCCCCCCCCCCCACCAAAAAAAAACAATTTGATTTCGAAACTAGAAGTATTTGAAATCATATATACATATAATCAAATATCTGTAATCGATATTTTGATAACATTTCTCGTAATAATCCATCATGACTCGCGGATATCATAGACTCGCAAATCATAATGAACGAATTAATGAAAGGGCCTAACAAAAGACGTATACAAGACTTTGAAAATGCCATTTCCGACGATTTAGAGACGCAAAATTTTCAAAAAATTTTTGCTCTGTGCCAACCATGGTGGCGCTTCGTGGGAGTCGGGAACTCTAAGTTTATCAAGCTGGCTCCCTAAGTAACTGCCAAGTTGTGGTATCTACATAAACATACTATGAAGTACTTAACTGAAGGTTCAGTCTATCTACAGCATAATGTTGTAATGCTGTATATCCAAAAATCTGTTTCAGAAAATGCAGGGAATTGCAGTCATAGGGGTAGAAAAATACAAAAATTTTCTGGGAGAGAAAACCCCAGACCCTCTCCAGGGTATATTATCCAATATATCGTTAATTAAATACACCTTCCCCTTGGTCAGATAGCAGAACAGAGCAGACGTGTATTTTGTGCTCCGCTACACGAGTGAAATTTGATCCATCGCCCGATTCGCTCGCTTTTAAAACTACGAAAATTTTATTCGAGACGAGAATGGTTTCATTTATTGATCATATAAGTTTTGCTTGGACTGGAGATTTTGATTCATTGAAGTTGTTAATCGCTGATGTTCTAAAACTAGACGGCACTTGGGAACATCCCGGCGGCGACAAAAAGGTGTTTAAGTTTAATGACAGTTTGATCTCGTGGAGAAAAGGCAAAGGTCTCTTGCAGATTGAAGGCGACGAAATGGGTAAAGTGTATCAACATTTATGTAAAAAGATTTTGAATAGTCTACATTCAAGTGTTAAAAATGTAGTTAGTTCGGACATGTCATGCCAGACGAATGTAGATACCCAGCGGCAGTCGTCTTGTCCATGTGCTGATGTTGTTTTCGACTTTGAGGAACTAAAATCGGGTCAAGAAATCAACAGAGAAATTATACAAACTTTGTCTCAAACTGTTGAACAATTAGTTGAGTTTATGGGCCAGAGTAAAGGTGAAAAATCAGTTGAAAATGGGGGAAAGTTATAGTCCGTGTGTTGTGACCCGATATCGTTCACTTTCATTAAGCATGTCTTAGATCTGAAATATTTTTACGGCAACTAACACTTTCGAACACGCTGATTTCAAATCCGAAAAGTTCCCACTCCGTAGACCCGCAGTTTTTTCACAAAATGCTATTTTATCTTCACTAATTTCACAAAAAATTTTTTCATTGTTCAACGATACGGATCGATGACGATACACGATTATGTCACTCAAAAGGACCAATTTCTATTAACCATTCTTCCTTTTAACAAAAGATCGGTTTTGCTCGAATCATTTTGAGTTATGTAATCTTATGCGTGTTGGACGTAAACAACATATCTTGTCTATAACTTTGAGAAGGTACAGATAACGCTTTCTAAAATCCTCAGTCCTAGAGATATCTCTTTAAAATCACAATGACGTTAATGTCAAGTCTTTTAGCTATGTCACTGGCCTGAAAAATAACTCCTTTAACGCGATCAAGATATTTAAAGCAAAAGTAACGCGAAGCCAACGTAACGGCAAAGATAACGCTAAAACGAAATATTGTCGAATGGTTGCACGTAGAAGACTTACGACAGGATCAATCTTAAATAACCTCAAACTATAAGAATAAATGTTCACATCAAAGATAAAGATCAGTCACAAAGTATAAAATACGCTCTGTAAACTTACCGCGAAGTGGAGAAATGTGTGCATGAGCTGTTTATTTGATGATTTCGACGTATATAGAAGCCCTCTTTCCAATAATACTCGCTTATCGCACAGTATAACACCAACTGATGTAATAGTTCAAATGCAATGATAAGTTATCTCTTGAATTACGTCTTGGAAACCGTGTTGGAAATTTCAGTGCTGGTCCATTACATATAGATTACCGTTTTATATCTTTGTATAAAACATTTTGATCGCATGTAAGGAATTATTTCTCAGCCCAGAGACATAGCCCAAAGACTTAACATTAACGTCCTTGTGATTTTATAGAAATAGATCCAGAACTAAGGATATTAGAAGGAATTATCTGTACCTTCTCAAAGCTGTAGACAAGATATGTTGTTTACGTCCAACACGCATAAGATTACATAACTCAAAATGATTCGAGCGAAACCGGTCTTTTGTTAAAAGGAAGAATGGTTAATAGAAATTGGTCCTTTTGAGTGACATAATCGTGTATCGTCATCGATCCGTATCGTTGAACAATGAAAAAATTTGTTGTGAAATTAGTAAAGATAAAATAGCATTTTGTGAAAAAACTGCGGGTCTACGGAGTGGGAACTTTTCGGATTTGAAATCAGCGTGTTCGAAAGTGTTAGTTCCCGTAAAAATATTTCAGATCTAAGTCATGCTTAATGAAAATCGTTTTCTAGGCACTTTTCGAGGTCACAACACACGGACTATTAGTTAAAAATCGAAATGGCAAACCTGCCACCGATATGCATATTTTAACTCACGCCCAAACAAAAGAAATTAATGAAACGACTAATCCCAACGCCCCCGACATTAGTATAATCGAGATATCTGATCAAAACAACGTTGGCACGGCAAATCTAAATAACGCTGGAACCGATAATGTTTCAGAAGAAATTGCGGGTAGGAACGAAATATCCGCTCCATACCAAGATAGGTTCCCCCGACACACAAAAAACCCTAAATCTCACGTTCCATGTCCCTTTTTACGCAGAAAGGGTCATTGCCTGAAGGGTTTGAAATGTGATTTTTCCCACGCTAAACCACAACAGTCCTTTCAACCACACCAACAACAATTTTTTCCACCCCCGTTTTACGGACAAACTCCATATCATTTTCAAAGTCACCTAAATACTATGAGACACCCTTTTTTTTATCCCCACGTAAACTACCCTTATATGCCTCCCCTGATGGACATCCCAACAAGACCACCCAGTCATTATTAAACGAATCTGTTGACTTTCCAAATAACTGTACACTGCCATGTAAGCCCCTTACTACAGAACTCCATCAACTTAATACCACTACATTAAAACAGAGGATTAGTAATTTTATTCCAAAATTAATGGTGACTAATGTGAGATCTTTGGCCCCTAAAATAGACGAAGTCCGCGAATTCATGATGGAAAATGAGATAAACTTATCCTTTCTAACTGAAACTTGGCTCAATGACTCAATTACAGATAGCGTTGTAAGCATACCTGGGTTTACAATCATACGCAAAGATAGATCTATAAACAACCATGGCGGAATCTGTATTTATATCAGAGACGGTGATACAAAACTCAAAATCCTTTCAGAAATTTCATGTTGTTCCGAACACGAAATCTTATGGCTTCATTTAAAACCTAGACGACTTCCTCGTGAATTTTCCTCAATCATAGTTGCCGTCCTATACCACCCCCCCAGTGCCGACGATTTCAGCATGCAGAGTCACTTATTTCAGACACTGAGCGAAGTCGAAGCAAAATTTTACAGCTGCGGTATTATCATTGCTGGGGATTTCAATCGTCTTAATGTGAATCATATAATTAAGCATTTTCGGTTGAAACAAATTGTTAAATCACCAACTCGAGGCGAAGCAATACTTGATCTAATATTAACTAATATGCACGAGTTCTACAAGTCTCCGCAAATACTCCCTCCAATTGGATTATCTGATCACAACACAGTTGTAGTTTCACCCACTCACATTGTGAAGAAAGCAAAACCTACATTTGTATACAAACGAGACCTTCGTCAGAGTAAGAAAGATGCCATGGGGAGATTTTTACAATCAATCCTTTGGCCTGAAATTTTTGCTCAATCACAAAGCTGTGAAGATATGGCGAATTTTTTTTATGACATTGTAGCTATTGGTCTTGACCTCCTCATGCCAATTAAACGGATTAAGAAAATCTCTGCAGATGTTCCTTGGATGACCGATAAATTGAAAACATTTATAAAAAAAAGACAAGAAGCCTTTTTCAGTTACGGTCCAAAATCCAACTGCTTTAAATATTACCGAAATATTGTCAATCGCGAGAGAAAAGCGTGTAAATCAAAATACTATACGACCCAGGTTCACAGTAAACAAAAAGATAACCCTAAAGCTTGGTGGAGTGAAATCAAACGCCTAGGAGGAATGAAATCAATGAATAGCTCCCTAATAAATTTGATAAATATCGCTGGTTTTGAAGATATATCGGAACAAGAACTAGCAAACAGAATAAATACAGCTTTTCTTGAGCCCTTATCAGAATATCAACTATCTTCACCGTTAGAGCGACTTAACTTAGAGGAAAACCCAGACTTCTTAGAAGTTTCTGAAGAAAGGGTTTTATCACAGCTACAAAAACTCAACCCCAGTAAAAGTGGTGGCCCTGACGAAGTGCCTAATTGGCTCTTGCGAGAGTATGCTGTAATCCTTGCCCTCCCAATTAGTCTACTCCTAAATGCATCCTACAAACAACAACGCCTACCTGCAATATGGAAACTTGCGAATGTTTCACCGCTGCCAAAAGTAAAAATAGTACAGGACCTGAAAAAAGAATTTAGGCCCATTTCATTAACACCTAATATTTCGAAGGTTGCAGAGCATTTCGTTGTTAATGATTATGTGAAACCAGCTGTTTTGAAGAAAATTGACCCCGATCAGTATGGAGCAATCCCTAAATCATCGACGATTTTTGCTCTTCTTAGTATGGTGCATAACTGGACCTCCGGGCTTGACGGTACCGGTTCTACAACTAGAATCATTCTATTCGATTACCAAAAAGCTTTTGATCCAATTGATCACAGAATTTTGTTCAATAAACTACTTCAGTTAGATCTACCACGAAGTGTTATAAATTGGATTATTGATTTCTTAAGTAACAGATTCCAAAGAGTCAAA